TGTCGGCGATTAAACCACAATGCTAATGCTAAAAATGACACATGTAAAAACAAAATGGCAGACACTTTTTGATAAGATATTTTTTAAAAGAAAAGTGAAGTTGCAAAGAAAGTTACAAGTACAAGATTAATTTATTTTAATAAATAAATAAAATTAAATTACAGTAAATGCTGAAAATGTTGCTCAGTTTCTTGGAAGCATAAATGAGCTCTTCGCTTAACACAAAATCTCGGGTGTCAGAAGTCAGATACTCTCTGTGTTTAGACTAATAATCCGATTGTTAAAAAATTTCCGAAACATGACTACTGTTATTCTAGTCGAATGAGCTGCAGCTCTGTCTTGTTTTTAATCTTTCGTAATATTGCTCAGTAAGTTCCATCCAATAATTTCATTTATTGCGCTAAATATCTATTTTAACAGTTTAATATTTTCAAGCGTTTCTTTGTATAGGTTTTTCAGAACTTTGTGATGAGTTGCAAAAATTGGCATAGTCAACGATATTATTGGGAAATTCTTCCCAGAATTCGTTCCAAGTCGCTTAAATCGACAAATTTAAATCAAGCTAAGAAATCAGTTTCTAATGATTTTAGTTTTTGTATTTTTGGATGACTATTTCAAATATTGGCTTTACAAAATTATCGAAAATTAAAATAAATGCCATTCCAAAGAAGACGATTTTACAGAATATGTGACTCATCTTAGAGTTTTTATTCTATAATAGTAATAGAGCAATAACGCCAAGACTGAAGCAAAGAATCAAATAAAGATTACATTGAACTATAGGCTAACAATAAAATAAACAAGTAAATGTGGCCAGTTATGGTGTGTTTTAATCGATACATATTCTATATGCATTAGATACACACGCATTGCATTGAATTGTACCAAACTGAGCTTAAACTGCAATAACCTAATAACTCATGATGTTGATTTTACTGCTTAATTAACACATGAAACTATTCGAGCATGGACCATTTAAAGTTTAATTTAATAATAATCTATAACATGTATGTGCAGAGCAGTATTATCTACCTATCTACCTATCTATCTATCTATCTATCTATCTATTATGTGACATGTGATGATTTAACACACAAGATCTATCAGAATTCGAAAGAAAAAGTTGAGCAATTCATTCTTTCCTATTTTTTCGTCAAATTTTAATACCGATTTTGATTTTCAAACTTATTACAAAAATAATAAAATAACCTCTTTAGCTGTAACAATATATAAAGTAAGAAAAAGAATTTAACGAAATAATTAAATTTAAATTCTAAAATAACATATTATCACGAAACTTATTAATTAGGGTTAGTTAGATAAAAATGTTTTTCGCACGAAGTACACCAATAAAGCACCAATATTATTACAAAATTATAGCTTATGTCAACTGATCACCTTAATTTTTGGTCAATGATTGATACTTGATAAAAATTTTGTACCTACGAAAAATCCGTTTGCATTCCATTGCGGTGAATTTGCAATGACAATAGTTAAATTGACGTTTAAGCACCCTAGTTATTTAAAAAAAATTGACAGTGCCGCCAACCCTAATAATTTTTTAAAAAGTATGTAAGGGAATTTGTTATTATACCAACCTTCTCTTATTCTTATGCCATTTATGTTTAGTGAATGTATCATATATAGGGTTAAAATCAATACCAACCCTAAGTAAGTGGCGGCATGTGGTAAAGCAAAAAACCGTGATATGGTTGAAAGCAACAAAGATTATGATAAAGAGCAAACCGATTTAAATATTTAAAACGTTTTGTCTAGACAAACAAAAAACTTGAAACGCGCTTTAGTTATTTCAAATAAGGAACATAATACAATTAATTTATTGATATAGATCAAATAACGTTGTAAGCACGAATTATGGTAAAATGGGAGCAATTAGCAAATATGCGCTAAGTGGGTAATAATCGCGGACAATCTAAAAATATTAGATTAAAAGTGAATTATGTGCAAGGAATACTAAGGAAGTATTGCAATAGGGACACCTTAAGGACTATTTAATCTTATGTTTTCTTGGCCTGTTCACTCATAGAGCACAAACACTCGAATTTCTGTTTGTATATCTGACGGTCTGTCTGTCTGTCTGTCTGTCTGTCTGACGTCTCTATTAATTAAACACATAATCCCCGAAACTGTTGGACCGATTAAATTTTCTAACAAATAAATATACTTCCTGTTCCTGAGTTATTAGACGGTTTACCCTTATTAAATTCAGCGAATGTGGTATATATGCAAGATGGTGCGCCGCCACACTATGCTGGAATAGTGAAAAACTTTTTAATTAATCGCTTTCCCAGACACTGGATCGGAGGAGAAAGACTTTTTTTTCAGTATTAACAACATCCGGAATTTGCCCACATTTTCGGAAACACCCTGTACATTATTATTTTTAGCTGAAGTTGGAAGCTTAATTTAGTACATTGGAAATACATGACTCATACATAGCGTCGAAGTGGGGCACAAACCAATATTTTAAAAATAAATGTAAATCAATATATTTTATAATTTGACTCTGAAACGTTTCTCTGATGTCTTTTAAATTTTGCAACTACAGAAACATTTTAACTAATCATATTGTACAACATCAAAATTAATACGTTTATTTTACAGAAAAAATTAACGACGACTTATTAAAATATGTATTATTAAATAAACTTTTACTGAACATATCGAGATACTACGTGTTGTATTGATTATGCTTCAGACGCGATGAATATTATTATAGATTTCTTTTTACATAATAAATGAGCTATAGTTTACAAAATAGCTATAATTATAAATAAAATAGTGTTATTTACAATAAATTAATGACTGCAATAAATCTACTTTATATATTTTATTGTATGTAAATATTTTTTGGAAAACGTGTGTTTGTGTTAAATTATAAATATGGATATCAATTTATTTTAGTATTTAAATTAGCATATGTATGCAAGTTGCATATCGCGTATTTTTGATATGACAATGACATTTTTTTTTAGCTTTAGTAGATATTTAAATTATCTTTTTTTAAATTGATTGACACAGATTAATTATTGCACGTTTTGTTGGTTTGAGTATATGCATATTTGGGATGTTTTATTTCGTGAGTTGTAAAAAATCGAAACTACCTCTTTTCCTAAAATATTCGTAAAATCCGAAGTTAGGTCTGTTATTGTCACACTCAGCATTTCTTACAGGTCGCTGTGAATGGTTTATTAAGGGAGAATAAAATTTATTTATGATTTCTGTTTGGCGCAAGTCTGAACATCTACTTAGGTTTTTTCTGGTATTTTTACAAATAAATGTACCTGAAAACTTATTTATTTCAGTCTACATTAGCCACTTTGATTTAGAAGAGTGATTTCTCTTATGTCAGAAAAGCTTAACTAGGTACATGTCGACTGAGCTTACAATAAGTATTTCATACCTACTTGATTATAGAAAACTAAAGATGGGGAGAACAATTTGTCAAAATAGTTCTAATTCATTCGTAATTAGACCCTGAAAGAGGCCAGTGGTAATAAATTTTCTAAAAAATGCCCAAAGTGAAAACAATTTACATAAATTCGTGGATAAAAGATATTAACTTATTTCAACTGATGAAAATGTTTCCTGCTTTTTTTAAATTTACGTTGCATATTTTTTTAACACGACTGTTTTAGTTTGTTTTTGTCTTGATATAAAAAAATTATGTTTAAAATAACATGTGAACGCAAGTCCAAATATCCCAATTGTTTCAACACAGCTTCATAAAAACTTGAAAAATTAGAAAAATATTGTAAAATGTTAACCAATAAAGAATTAAAGAAATTGTAAAAACCAATTGATATATAACTTCTGATGCGTGTGGGCGTTAAATTGCCAATCTACTTAGATTATTTAAGTAACAAAGGGCCTAGTAAATCTTAATTAATTGCATGCAAACGAGTCGAAAAACCAACCATCTGACTGTATCTGATTTATCAATGAATTTTTCATGAATTTCTTTCTTCCTGATGTTGACAAATATTTGTGCATATAAATCCGTTCTTTAATTATTAATGTCTTCAATAATATAACATATTCATTGGTGTAGTAATTTGTGTTTAGCAAACCCAAATAATATTACACATCAACATGATCACATAGGTTTCAGTGAGGACACTACATATATTTTTATATTAACCATAAGCTACAGACTTAATCGTAATAAACTTATAAAACGACCAAAGTTTAGCTGAAAGAGAAGTTTAGTGTGCGCTCCCAGAACGATTAAGTTTGGGTCATGATTTCCGTAGTGTAAATGTTGAAATATTGCCTCTTGACACTATAATTATATATTTTTTGTTCACTAAAAATATATATTTGATGAAATAATTAAATTCAACGAAGAGATATTCAATTATTTGTAAGTGAAACAATCAAGTTGTTGATAATCTTTATAGATATTGTATGTTCATAATTAATTATGTTAATTAGCATTGTAAATTAATAAAATCATGTAGCTTCAAATTACATAGTTCAACAAAAAAATTGTATTTGCTTAGCGTAAAACCTTGAATTAGCTTCAAGCACTTACTAAAGTTATAATTCTACAAAATTCCCCGTAAGATTCTCTTAAATCTCTTGTTGGATTAAAGTTTTGTTACATATTATCTTAAAATACTCAAACAAGCTGAAGTTATTAATGCTGATAAAACTCCTGTAAAAGAATTTCGTTGGTACCAGCTGCTACCAAAATTTTATTGAGATAAATTGTGAAAAACCTTGTCCGTTACCTCATTTCTACTGGAAATCATGCACAATTTTAATTTTATTTATTTAACTCTAAAAACTAAACTTCACGTTATGAGACAGCCGAAAATAAAAAACATTTAAGCAGAGTTGCTTTCATTGTGTACGTATTTTAAGCAACTTTCGTTGATTTATGTCTAAATTTGAAGTGGCCCTGTTTGCTTTTCCAGTTGATTAAATTTTCGTGTATTTGAAACGACAAGACAAAATGAAATCAACAAAAACGTTACCTGATCAACAATGATAATGTCACCGCCGGTGTCATCCAGAATTTTCGTCAAATGAGAAACCCCTGAAACAAAACCAAACTGGATTAGTGTCAAAACTGTAATGTAAAATTACTCGAGGTATTAATTAAGCTCCGAAAAGCTTAATACGAAACTTGCAGTGAAACGACGAAATGTTCATTATTTCAGCACTTAATTAATTGCTTGGGTACCGCTTCGTTGAAAATTCAGAACTATAGTGCGCATTAAATCAATAAATGGTGCTGCAGTTAATAAAGTACATTAAACAATGTGAAACAATTTGTACGAACGGTTCATTTAAATTAATACGAGTCCTGAAGCTGTCGCAAATGTACAGGGTAATTAATGCTTTTATCGCTTTTTACTATAACAATTATGATTTTATGAAGTGCTAAAAAGCGCTAGAAATAATTTAAATTAGGTGGAAGTTATGTGTAAAAAAATGATTAAAACGAACTAAAACACTCCGCTAGTACTAATAACATTCAAAGTAATTTATCCAAGAGCACCATATTGTTTCTACGTAACGAAGAAATAGCGCATACGTACGCGAAGTCGCTCCTTGAAATTAAGGAACCCTCGTAAAAAATATGACACTAGACCTCATTTTATCAGAAGCAAGAGATACCGTGCCATCTACCTAATTCTTTTGTTTATTCTCTGGTTTTATTTGCTTTGTCTGAGTTATTTATTACCTCTTTTTCGGTACATTTAATGCGGGCGTTGTTCCCGTATGACAACAAAAAAAAAACAGATGTGCCAACGCAATTCCACATTGCAGTAATCCTGGAAATAAGCGCATAGTTACGTGTAATTAGGTCTCTTTTCACTAGCTAACATTTATGAGTTGTAAAATCTGGATGAAACGGCATAATCTCAGTATTGTTGAAGGGGAGTATTTTACAGTGGCGGCTCCTCAGAGGAGGCAGGGGAGGCTGAGCCTCCTCTATTTTTGGAGCTGAGCTTCCTCTAATTTTTTTCCATGAAAGAATTTATATTTTTGTAGACATTTGTCATTTTTCAGAATATTTTCTTGGATTTCATTTACTTTCATCATATATCAGGTTAAAATGTCGGAAAAATTTATATTTGTGCCCTCACAATCATAATTCACATTCACACCACTCCGCGTTTGGTTTCAGCGGCAGAGGCTTGCTAGCCGCTAGCCTCCGAACGACGATGCATCTGAATAATGAGACCGTGACCTTGACGCATCGTCAGTGTGTATTGCATTGGCTAAAACGTTGATCGCACTGCCGCTCCAAGCCGCTAGCCTCCGGCTAGTTCATCTCTTTTCAGATCAAGTCGTACAGATAACTTTATCTCTTTCTTATTAGTTGGAGCAATCGGGTGTAAGTAGGAAAAACATTGAGGTGGTTTCGCGAGCTCCCTGTTCAGTGGTGGTGGTGTTTAGGCTTTACGTAGGTAAGGGTATAAAAGGGAAGACCAACACCATCACTCCCATTAATGGTATTGACAGTTACAATTAGAAACAAAACAGAGCATTTCATGAAAATAATTATAATAAAACTAAATAGTTAACGGCTTCGGTTTTAAGAAACAAATTATACTGTTGGAATTGTGTATTAGTGATAAATCTTCCGCTTGGGGTAAAACAGGCTATAATAATTTACAAAATTTGTCACGAGCTATAGAAATACATGAAAAATCACAGGAACACATATTTTCTTAGATTAAATTAGAAATGCTTGGTAAGCAAAACATTGCCAATAATTTAGATTCGGCTCATAAAAGGGAGAACTATTACGAGAAAGTTGGTGAAAATTGGGCAATTTTGAAAAGACTAATCGATGCAATATAATTTATCTGTCAACGCAAGAGTGTTCTTTTCGTGGGCATGACGAAAAAAATTATTCAGATAATAAAAGATATAAAAAGTAGTGCTTTTCAAATTTGAGCCTCCTCTGAAGAAAAGTTCACGAGCCGCCACTGGTATTTTAAGCTTTTCAGTTGGATATTCTAATGCAAAAAGCGACGGTGACGGTGGTTTGCCGCTCTTGGAATTGCGGGGAAATTGTGGGTTTGTCTATATGCGTATCAGAGGTTTTTATGCCCTTTCTCTTTTATGCGCGTATTTAAGGGAATTATTTGTATGCGTCGTGGAAGTATTGGAATTCCTTTAATGGAATGTAGGGCGTCATGAACAGAAAAGAAATTAATAATATGACCTCTATATTTAAGTAGGAAACTCATAAATTCTACCGACCACGAACAAAACAATTTTTTTATTTAATATGTCACGTTACAAAAATAGTTTCATAAAAAATAACAAGAACATTGATTATTATTATTATAGGTTTTTGTTTTATCTGTTTTATCGGAAGAATGACACGAGAACAATAAAATTTTATTCACATCGTTAATGTGTTATAAAATTTTTATGTCTTATTACAACTGCTAACGAAAAAAGAATTAAGTTATCTAACTTATCGATAATGCTTTAGTCAATTTTTATCCTTAGAATACTAAGTTATTATTATAAACACACTGACATATAAAATTAATTGAATTAACTCATTTATTATGTTAAATAATTGGTCGAACTTCACTCGCCCCTGAAGAACAATAAAACAAACCCAACTTTTTAGAAAAATTATAATTTATAAAATTAGATTATGCGAATTTTATTTTTTTAAGAGATTAGTTATAAGTTAAAATCAAGATATGTATGTAACATTAAAATAAATGTAAAGAAGTTAAATAACACTATTGTATTCCCAAATTTTCAGGAAAATATAGTGAACCGTAAAAAAATTGACTCATTCACTAATTTTTATAAGTCACACTGTGTAAGAAATTTAAAAACTTTTAATGCAATGATAAACCACAAGTATTGTATGGACTTAATATTCTGCACATTTTGGATAGGATTTATTCGGCAAAATTTTGAGATGACGTCATCAATTTTTGGAGGGAGATAAACAGATGTATTTTGATTATAAATTTACCATGCTTACGATAAGTTTAAAACGTTAGCAAGATTTCAAAACATTTGGTTGTGCACTTCCTGATTTAATCAATAAAATAAATTGACTCTTTCTAAATACTATGATTGTGTTGATAAACAAGTATGCAGTCCTAATATTTTAAAGTAATGAATTTTGCTTAACTATTTACCATGATTACAATAACCTTAGCATATTTACAACATTTCAGAGCATTCGATTTTGCAGTTTCAAAGTTAAATTGCAAAATATTGTTATACAGTTTTGAATTTTTTTCGAAAAATCTGGATGTTTAGGGTGAAAATTCGACACGGATTCACACACCACCAGTGCAGGAGACGCTTATTTTATAAAATCAAAAAAAACTTCTATTATAAATTTTCGAGATGACGTCATTCCATTGGTGGTGGGAATGATTAGCCATCTACATGATATTTCTAATATACGTAAAAAAATTTGAGAATGGTTTCGGAGATTACTAATAAAAATGGATACAGACACTAGACAGACAGACAGACAGACAGACAGACAGGCAGACAGACAGACAGACAGACAGACAGACAGACAGGCAGACAGACAAACAGACGGAAACGAGACAAACTCATCCAAATCAAACTAATTTCCATCTGACATTCTATCGATGTATAAACATAAATAAACACTTCAGCTTCAGATTGCTACTACCTAGTGCTGAAGGACATTTTATCCCGTTAGTTATGTGCTTTAAATGTATTTTACATTATCCGTACGGTTCAGGGGCTGCGGGGGTGTTATATTATGCCGCTGGCTTTTACTTTAGAGAGGTTATTTCAAAACGAAAATAGTAAAATCAAATTTTATATTTTTTGTAAAGAGCTGGATTTGTTGGATTATACTTCAAGGGCGAGGGAAGTTAATTAAAAGAGTTGTGTTAAAGTGTTGAGTGCTATATTTTCCTGGTTAAGTTAAGCTTGACATAATCTTCAGCTCTACATCGTTTGGGTACCGTCAGACCTACGCGTATGTTTCCTTAATGTAAAATACATTGAATTACCTCTAACAAATCTTGCTATTAATTGTACGAAATGAATCAAATAAATCTAAGGTTTTGAATTTCCAGTATAAATCACATACGTTAACAAAAGATCAACCAAGGGTGGACTCCCAAATATGTTTTCAAGCCATTATTCTGTGACAGACTTTAGTAAACTCGAATGTCATGTTACATATTTATTTCTTTTTATAACAAGCAAGAAATTGTGCTTTATTTTTCCTTTCTAACTGAATCGTTCCTTCGTTAATTAAATCTAAATTTTCTTCAATGTTTTTATGTTTGAATGATGTTTGTTATTGCGTCCAATATTAATTTATTTGAATTTTAGCTGAAGTTAACAATTCAAACTGTGTCTAGTTTTTTTAACGTTGGCATATAAGAATTGTATACTTATGAAATGACGCTTACGGTAATGCAAATAAATTTCATTAGAAAAATTTTAATCTGGTAACTTAAGGGCGCGTTTATAGAATACTTCAACTGATATTAAGTTAATCACGCATTTAACAAGGCGTTTAGCGAGAACGGATTGGCGTAGAGTCGATCACGTGGTACTTTAACGCCCGTACGTAATGTAATACGTAATCAAGTCAACTGCTTGTATATTTTTGTTATTACAGGCCAAAACGAATTGGAAATAAATTGTTCATCATCAAATTTATCAATAATCTGTCGACGGTGCTTTGTGCTTAAGTGAAATTTCCGATATGTGTCTTAAAATCTATTAGTTCTTGGAGATCTATTCTTTTCCTTCGTGACGGCGATTGTTCTTACAAAATAACAAACTAAAAGTAAATACAGATTTGCTGTAGATACTCTTAAATAAGTATATTTACTTTAGGATGAAAAACTTACTTTTAGATTTTTAAACGATTTTTACTTCCCAAGTGTAAGCGAAAGAAATATTGTAACCGAGTTCATCAGACGACTTGCTACTTTCATGTTTTCTCGACGTTTCATGATCAAAGTGGTAACCACAATAGCTTCTTTTTTTTGTCTTAAACTCTCTTTATCTATTTTTTTTTTTTATTAAATCAAGAAAGAT